CCGGTTTAAGGGCGTTTTTTAACGGTTTGTGTGCTATCCTTATTTATTAAATATCATGCACACTGCGCCAAAAAATATTAAAAATATTAAATCCCAATACTTCGATTCTACGACTCAAATTATGCCTATATATTAAATTTTGTAAAATTGGTGCGAAATTTACGGAGAAACTAAAAAATTTAGCTTAGCGTATTGTCTTCAGTTTGCGCCAAGAATAATTTACATGGCGAAATTCTTAATTTATAGCAACCTAATTTTTCTCTCCAGTTTTGCATTGAAGACTAGCCGAAAAAAAAGAGTCATCTTTCCATACTTTCAAATAATTTTAACAAAGTCCATAAACCACATTTGGCGTTATTATCGCTCAAGAAAAAGATGCCAAATTTTAAAACGCGTCAATATGTAATTTCATGTATATTATAGAAATTTCGAATAAAAAATCTCTAATATTTTGCAGGTGTGCCTAAAAATGCATCTACTTTAAGAGGATGTTAAAAATTTAATAGTTTATTACACAAAAAGTTTTCGAAAAATTTATAAAAAATAATTAAAAAACATAAATTTTAAAAATAAAGCATGAAAAATATGCGAATTATATTTGATTAAGTCTAAATTTTGAATTCTGTAAGAAGGAATCAAGTAAGTTTAATAAAAAAAGAGATATCAATGAATATATATCCAATTCAATTAACATTGAGGAGTTAAAACTTTGAGAGCTAATTTTTTAAAAACTACTCGCGCGATTTTTACAAAACTTGGCATAATTTGAGCCGTAGAATCGAAATACGGAAAAAAAAGAGGCATGCCATTTCAGAAAGATCGAATTTTGATTTTATAAATCTGATGAAATCTGATGAAAATTTTCATCAGATTTTGTGTCAAAATACCTAGGTTAGAATAATGCTACTTATAAATCTAATATATATCCTAAGCCGCGCTTTCGAGACATGAAAAACGCAGGATGAATTTCGTCAATCGGCCCAGTAGAATGGGAGAGATAACACTGTCCCTTTTTCTTTCCCAGTGTTTAAGGTTCTTCGCAATTAAACCACACAGAATTCAGTTCAGTACCAATATCACAAAACATTTAAAAACATCATATCTTTAGAGATTCCGACAGACAAACTCGCGCGCTGGAGATAATTTTTATTTATTTATTTATTGTTTTTTGCATTACAGTGTTGCCATTGCTCGCTTTGAAATCGTTGAGTTTCTTAATCAAAAATTCGTTAAAGTTTCGCAAGGTATGAAAAAATAGATAATAAAACAAATTCAAAATACAAAATTCGGGCTTCCAGGTGCCCATGTTCGGATGGAGGATTACGTCATTCAAAATTTGATGGCTCTAGGTGCCGTCGTTTTTTCACAATACGAGAAACATACACACATTCATGCAGATTCTGCATTATCGATCTATTATTTAATTTTTTAAATAATATTTAGTGGCAACAATTTTAAAACTGATGCGCCGTTTATTCCATGTCGAAACTAATAACCCATCTCGTCTAAGCCCCTTTGGGCTAAAAATTAAATTTTTAAATCAGTGAGTGACAGACAATATACTACAAATAGGTAAAATATTTAGTTCGGAGAGAAAAATCAGTTCCACGGTTTTAGAAAAGGTAAGATTCAGTCTCAAGAAGTAAACTAGGAAACTGTGTTTCAATAGAACACTATCTAACACTTTTCAACATCTGAGAGGCCAATTTATATTGTCCGTTCGTGTGGACAATTTCCAAAAGAGCTAGAATGGAAATAACCCGTAACAAGATCCGCTTAAAGCGCTTTATTTTGATTCTGGACTATGCTCGTGAAAGTGGTTGTTCAACAGACATTTTTATTCACTAGACAGAAAAGTGAACAGAATTTATACAACTTAAAAAATAAAACAGCCACTGATGCACTTACATAAAATAGCTGTTTCAAATTTATTTGTTGAATTTTACATTTCGTAGTGTTTATAAGACGCAAAAATGGGAATTTGAAAAACTTGTTGATCTTGTACAATTAAGATTGTTAAACAGGAAGCATACCTGCGGAGAAGTAAAACTTGAACAGAATTTTCATTTTACTTGTTATTAGTTAACGTGTTTTATTACTTCCTTCATAAAACTCTTAAAAATTGTATTTTGTATAGTCAAATATTACAGTACAATATTCCAGTCCATTATTCGTGCATTTAATAATGTTTTAACACAATATGAATTTGTCATTTTAATTATTTTGCGCGGTTAAAGAAATAAGAAAATAAAATTAATAATAATGATAAGAAGAAAAAAATATTTTTCATAATCAATTTGGAACAAAAGATATTTCTTGCGTAAATAATTTTTTTATCGTAATGTGGGTATAATTCCAAAACTGCTATAGCACCTTTATACAATTAAAGCTATTTTTCTAAATTCTGAAAATAATAAATTAAAATTAAAAATAAATTAAAAGTTGCATATTAATCTGAAATGTCTTCTTTTAAAGTTTCATTCAGTATTTATGGTCACGCAACTTTAGTTGAAAACAAAATTCATGAGTTTAAATAAAAGCGAAGCTATAAATTTAAAAAGAAAGAGCTAAACTAAGTCTTTCCAAGTAACTTCATACTTAAATAACAAGCTTCTTTAGATGAAAGTAAAAACACAGAATAAAATATAAATAAAAAACGGTAGGGTAAAAATTCACCAAATATTTTATACAAAATTTTATATAAATAAACAAGCACAGGCGAAATTTACTCCACACGATTTAAATAATTGTACAGTTTACTCCAATATGCTCCTGCCGTCTTTTGTAGAATATGATTTAATAATTTTACTGATTTCGTTTTTACCCTCCAATTGAATTCATAACAATGAAAGTTGAAATGGAAAATTTAAAACTATTTTTAAACACTTTCATTTTTTTTAATAAAGACAATTTTTTATGTGTTTCTGGAAAATAAGTTTGAATGAACAATACTGAATGAGAAATTTAAAATTCTTATTCAGTAACGTTAAAACTTAAAATCACGTTAATTCCAAAAATCCTTTAATTTCATACAATGAGTCAAACGAATTTAAAGGTATTGTATAATAAGTATGTTTATTACCAGAATTGTGATTTGAATATTTTAAAGGTTACTTTGATGCATTTTCAGATATTTTCTACACATGAATACACATTGCAACTCATTCAATTAGTCAAAAAAATTCATGGTCTAAAAATCTGACATTTTCTTTGATTCAGGAATAATTTTTCTTCTCTCTTCTCAGAAGAATATAAGCATATTCACAAAGTGAATGAATAATGATATAAACAATAGGTAATATATGACATCATTTGATACAAGAATTTTTTTTTTTTTTTGGTGGGGAGAGTATTTTCTTCTCATTAAAAAGTTAAGTTTGACCTGCAGCATTACCTTATACCTTACTATTGATGCAGAACTGTTATTCTGTTCAAAACATCACGTGTCGTTATCAGTACAGCATTCTCTTATTTCCGTCCCTTTATTTCCGAAAACATAACATTTATGCTAACTAGTACAGTACTAGTGTGTCAAGTTTGCTCTCTCACTTACTCTCTCTTAAATCTTCAGGCTAGACTCAAAAGAAAACTGAAAAACTTTCGTTTGATGGTTGGTTTGGTTCGATTGGAAAACATTACGTTGTTTTCGGGAAGCAAGTGAACAAACCTATCGAATTGCTAAAAGGTTTTATTTTCCTTAAAAAAGGGGTCTTTTTGTTTAGGCACCTAATTATTTAAAATATTTTCCGCATTATTTTATGAATGGTATGGATTAAAGGATGTCCTGATTTTGAAGTTTTTATACATCGGCTCAGGCAAACTGGAAAAGTTCGCAACAAGGGGAGCCCGCGTTTGATAGCTAACCCGGTGTAATAAGAGAATTCGTTCTCTAATAAGAAGTTCAAGGGTGTCGCATTAATTAAGAATACACTGTGCATTAAATAGTTCCGTCCATAACACAATATTCCCAGGATATCTTATACAAGTCGCAATGTCCAAGGACATACTGAGGATATTCTGAGCATTATGTTCTCAGAACTCCTGAAGACTGTAATTTAACATACTCAGGATGTCTTCTTTAAGTCACTATACCCCCGAGATATGGAAATATATCCCAAAAGTATTGATTCTCAAATGTTTTCAGGATTTTGCCATTTAACATTCTGGTGATATTCGTACTGCATTTTCTGGAGGACCTTCAAACATTTTGAAGAGTTTTATTCTCAGTTCTTTTATCAGTTTTCGAGTTTGTTCGAGTATCATGGTAATATACTAAATGGGACATTAGCACTCGTTAGATTACATTAAGGGAACTCCGGATGTCCTTAAAATGGGCTTAGTAGAATTTAAATCCTTACAACAGCCCGGGCACAACCGAGGGAATTTAACAAGGATGTGTGAGGATATATTGGGATATATTAAGTACTAGCTAGAATGCATTACAGGAGTTGTGGATGTCCTGATGATGTAGTAAGTAGATTTTAAATCCTGACAACGTCTCACACACTGTCGAGGGGATTTAGCAATGATATCCTGGGAAGCACTTGGAAGGATGCACTTGGGAGGATGTGTTTCGGAATTCAGAGCAATATTGCAGGATGTCTTGAGTTTGAAGGCTGATCCTGCGAAAAATATCTTAAAGACATCCCGAGGAGGATTTTATGCTATTTGGGTCATTATTCAAACAATGGGTCGTTTTAAAATCTGAAAATTAGATTTCATTTCATGGTTACTACTTTTATCTCATTTTATGGTTACTGCTTTAAATTCAAAGGACCTATACCGAAAATAAGAGAGTGTGGAAGAAACATGGAAACAGTAAGGATAACTTAAACTGTAAGGATATTTAATATGCATTTCATTCACTGCATTACTCAATCTGTCTATCTTTTAAATTATTATTAAACTCAAATTGCAAACCTTCTTGTTACTTGATTATTGATTCTTCCATAACAGAACATTTGGATACAACACAAAAAGGAAAAAATGATTTCACTTACCATACACGCGCACTTCTTTCTCTTCTCTTACTGTCTGGAAAGAGGGGGCTTCCGCGGATACTTCGCACCGGTAAACACCCTCCGTATTAAGATCGGTACGCTGCAGGTATACGTGACCGAGTGCTGACTGTGCCAACTAGAAGAGAGAAGATATATATGCTATGCTACAGGACAATTTGAACAAAAATAATGATAACAGAATGTAGATCGTAAGAGATCTACCGTGTACTTACTCGTCATAATGGTCTGGACTTTTTTACCCTATTTCTGCTCTTAGATCATACAGGGTAAAAACGGAATAAAGTGATTACCGGTTACATTAGATGAAATAATAACTGTCTGTTAATAAAAAGCCTGTCTTTGTAAAGATAAAGTTAGTCGTCAGATATTTTATGCTTATTCATTCTTCGGCAGAATAATTCCTCAATAATTTGTGTCACATACCAGCTTAAAAGGATAGTTGTAAAGCATATTTAAGCAAGAAGAAATATTACACTAAATTAAAATAAGGGTAACATTACCTAGAATCTACACTGAAAGGAACTTTTTTGCATTACATTTATTCTGTGTTGTATAACTGCATAAGCCTTTATTACATAATCTGAAAAGTGTGGCTTTGTTTGGAAACTGAAAAGAAGAGATATTTAATATTTGGTAGCTGAAAAAGTACTGTGTGCGTAAAACGTGATTCACCTTGTTAAATAACTGGAACAGGTCTTAATTATTTACAGCATTGCATCAAGCGGATTTCTTGTCATGTTGGAATAAAAATTATTGGCCTTCATAGGAAGCATTTTTTTAAGTATCGCGGGCAAGCGATGTAGTAAAATAAATACAATAACTAAGTCATTGAATAATTAAATCATTTCTATGTTAAATAAGAATACAAGATTCAACATAGCATTAATTTAAGAGGAAATAATATCATAGATATATTTTTCCTACCATTTAATTAGCTTTGGAATTTTAAAATCGCCATTTTAAATATAACATGTTATATTTTTTTATTTTCAGTTTCTGAGGATTAATTCTTAAAACACTCGGCCTATTGCAACTGCTTATTTAAAAATCTGTTGCGTGTTGAAATGAAATTTGTATACAAAGATCAGATTGCAATCTTTTTTAAATTTAGAATTTTAATATTTTTTATGTCTTTTATTTTTAAAAATAGAAATCGTAATCTTCTGAGGTATTAGACTGTAATCTGTAGATATCGGATTGAAGTTCTTTCCTCTCTACTTCTCACTCTTTTAAAAAAAAATTATGACTTAGTGTTGTAATTTTAATACATATTACAGAGCTTAAACAGGTTTTAACCAAAAGCGGTTTGAAGTATAATATTTTTGAAATGCTATATAGTACTATGCACATGGTATTTCAAAAGCTATTTCACTTAGCTAAAATATGCTAGATTTAATTAATGTCTTACTTTACGAGAAATCACTTTACTATTCTGTCTTTTCAGACTTTTGGGTAAAAACGCATATCTGCAAAAACGTGCCTTGGCAGTACTTTATTTTGATTCTTAATATTAACCCTCTAATGTTAATGAAATATTTCGCGCCTTTGGAAACGTTTATATGTGAATGCAAGAACAATAAAACTTCGGCTAAATGTATTTTGTGTGGTGCAGGGCATGTGCCAAACTACAAGGGTTATTAGCAGCTTCATAAACGACAAGAACTATGAAAAAAGAATAAAATGAAGAACATTGTGAATAAAAAATGTGAGAAAGGGAAAGAATAAATAATGAAGAAAAAGAGACTAAATTAGATGAAAGTGAGTTTACTAAGCTGAATAACTCAGCAATGACAGAAAACACTGACGCAAAAAGCTAGAACGTGACAGTTCCGTAGCCAAAAACAAAAAATCAACCACATTGGCTGATCCTAATATAACTAAAAATTTAAGTCCATAATGGAAAATTAGACATGTTTCTTGCTGACTTCAACTGCTACTCAAACCTTGAATATTTAATCATCATCCTTAGAAGCAAGTTACTGCAAGGTGGCTCCTTTTGATCCAGACTTTTGCTGATATAATATTTCGTCTTCGGACGAAAGAGCATTTGTACATTTAACTAGAGTAAATGGCATTAAAGTAAATACTAGTCGCTTATGGAAGAAAGAAGATCGAATATCTAAGAATGTGTATATTACTGGTTAAGTTTGTCATGAATTAGTGGGTTCTAGTTTGATTACTTCATTATTATTTTCCGCTATAAGGGAAACAATCGCAATCATAACATAAGGTTGGAAACAAAACAGGAACTTCAAAAATTCGAAGATAAATGAAAAATTGAAAAATGTATGAAAAACTACTCTATCTAATTAAATAATAACCTATTTAATTTTGCTAACTTAATTGATGTTCACAAGTTATAACAGTTTTATAAACTGCAGATCGAACCTTAAGTTACAAAAAAGTTGCATTCGTTTTACCTGCAATTATGCATTACTAAGGAAAGGAAGTTTATGACGAATTAAAACAGTTTTATACAAACGTAAGACGAACGGATTAAAGAAAGTGAGAGTAAGGAAAAAGAAAAAAGATGAAGCGGTAAATTAGAAGAAACCAGATTTTATTCCACAACAAAAAGCTAGCCGACAAAAAAATTCAGGGAGGAAACTTTTCATTCTTAAATGCAAACCGAAAGATGGGAAGAAAATCGCTTTAAAAGTGAAACGAAGATAAAATTCTAACAAGACTTTATCCCTAAGAAGAAAAAGAGAAAAGAGGAAAATTTGCAAAAACCAAACAAATAAAGTAAAGCAGAAAATAAGGAAAGAGTAAAAGTCTGGCTTTGTAGTATTAGCTCTAAGAATTCCTTTGAGATCAAGGTATGAAACAGAGTTTCGTTTTTCTCTTTTTCTTTCCCTTTTTTTTAACCACAGACGTTTCTTGACATTAAACAACGTTTGATCAAAAGTTAATAATGCTTTTCAAAAGAACTCGTTGTTCAAATGTAAAAGAAAGGATCTGAAACAGCATAGAATTCAAATTAAACAACAATTAATGAAATTACGTTTATTTAAACCAAATTAATAATTTAAGTTAACATATAAGAACCGTGTTTACTTGTAAATAAACGCACGTTATATTCAGATGATAAAAAAAAAACCCATTTTCTAAGGGTTCAGTGTTGCTTCAATGGTCTCAGCAGCGTTGTAACGGCGATTTTATCTAACATGCAGGGGCTCTTAAAAGGAACGAGATATTATTTGCTTATAAAACTGTTTTTTTAATATATTATATTTTAATGTTAATATAAAAACGTGTAAATCCAATAAAATGGGAGGAAATCCTTTCAAGTAAAACATTTTATATGTGCACGATACAGTCATTAGGTTTATTCGAACCAGGAAAGATGAAAAATGAGCAATGCCTTTGCCGGAATTCAAACTCCAGACCTTCCTATTACTACCCAGACGTACTTTCCAGTTAAACCATACATACATGTTGTGAGGCGGAAGGGAAACCTTACAGCACTATCTGCAAATCGAATGGCACACATAATTCTATTGCTAAATGTTATGCACAGCGCTGCTGTTGTACAGTTTGCTATTGAATTTCTTGCAAAGTGATAGTAGAGGCTGCTCGTTCGGTACCTTTGACGAATAAATCCACAAAGGTTGGGTTTGGAGATCTGGGAGAAAAATTGCAGAGCACGTTAGCTTGAGCAAGATCGGATTGCGGTACTGAAAGTGCCAGAATGTGGGATCATAAAATTTTCTCTTTTACGTACCATTTGATGTATGGCGTAATCGAGCATTTAGAAATAACAGTTTTGCAACTAAATAAATTCAACTTCTTTATGAAACACACTGTATGTGCTGAGAAGTTAAGGTGAAATTTACCTAGAGAATTATGGAAAATAATTTAATGTTTAAGCGTATATATGCAAATACCACTGAAGTGGGAATACACTGCATAACGCATTTCGTTTTGGATTAGCTCATTTACTTATTTTTCTCAACATTCCATTTATACGAAATGACTGAGTAGTTTCAGTTGCAGAATGCGTCATAAGCCTTCTTCAGTTTGCCTTCGTCTGTTGTGAAACTGAGATGCACTATAAAGATAAATAAATGCCGGCAATACACTAAAAATTATCTGTATTCATATCATTCTCTTATTTTCAAAGCTCTCAATGTTTGTTTTTCAATCTACTTTTCCCACAAATGTAAATTATTTAAAATGGTTCCTACAACGGCAGTTTCTCATCTTATTTCATTTACTAAGTGGTTAATTTAAGACTACGCAACTGATTTACAGCGGAGTTCGCTTAAATCTTCTCATCGACGTAATAATTTAAATGGCGGCAGTTATAACGTAAAGTCGAAAAATTATAATCTTACCTGATTCAGCGAAACCTATAGTAACGTGGCCTCGAGAGGCTCTCAAACTAAATTTGAATTCTGGTATGGAAACGGAAAAAACGAAGTGACAGTAGAAGCTGAAATTATAATTAACTGGTGATACAAAATAATAGTAACGTTAAAAAATGTTTAATTATTTTACATCCATTTCAAAAATCATTTCCATCAGAAAATACGCTTAAAGAATAGACTGCAAAGTTATCCTGTTCAGAAATCCAAACCAAAAAAATTTGAAACTTTGAATCCCTCCTAAAATTCTACGTAGAATGCAGTTACCCGAAAAATGCATAATATAATTTTCCATGATTTTCATTCCATGCAACAGATGCAGATCCAAGTTGGCATACCAAGAAGCTTTGTAATACATTTTAGCGATATGAATTACTCTTGAATAAGTATTTCTAGATATTGCTTGTAAATTTTGTGAAAGACTAATGACAATAAAAAGAGCATACGTAGAAAATACAAGTACCCAAACAAAGAAAAGTATTTCATGTGAATAAAAATCTATTGCTTGTTTTGATTTAAAAAATAGCACCAATGAATTAAAAAGGAAAATTTGAGTGCGCAAAATATAATACATGAGAATGTTTTAGACATAAATGGGATTATCAGATTCATGTAACAGCGTTGATAATATTGCCATAGGTTAGGTTAGGTTAGGCTATTGGAATATGGAAAATTCCACAAAGTCTATCTTTCTAAGGATAGAGAGAGAGATGCCTTCATAAAGGACTTTCCAAGAAAAATTGGCTCACAATGACATTACACCTAGTCACGAAATCACGAAAACCAATCATGAAACCAACTCATTACTTGGGATCGAACCCGTCAAATTCCCAGTATTCAGCGTTCGTAATTGTTGGGCTACTTCCACGACTAATACTACCATAATTTAATTAGTTTATAAATGAAACATCTATTTAAACAATCAAAATCGTAAAAAAACAACCTTATATTTAGCGTAGGTATAATGAAACACTCAATCGATTTCGAGGGCAGCTAAAGGTCCCTCCTCATCAGGAGAAAGAAATACATAGAGAGAAGAAAATAGGAATCACAGAAACACGTGGTGCTTATCAGCACTGCACGTGGTTATAACTAGATTTTTAATCAGAGTTGCACTGGCCGCCTACTTTTACTGAGCCAGGCTGTCTGATCAAGTATAAAGAAATATTAGCGAAGTTAAAATAGGGAGCGAGGGGCAAATGCACATTACGCTCAAAATCTGAACTTCAAATAATGGAAAGCAACCACTGAACGGATTTTTATACCCTCTGGTAGTACCAAGTGCGAGGAGGTAACGCCATCTATCGGCAAAAATAATTGAATTAAGACAGTAGAATTTTAAAGGCATTAGGAAGGACTGGATTGGACTTCAAATCATTAACTAAACTTTCTAAATCTTTGTGAATGTGAAAAGCCTCAAGAAAATCCAATTCGCCTATGGAAGAAGCCTTTTGGATGATTTTTGCAGACCCAAAATCAAAATTATGGTTAAAAGTCCAGCTATGATACGCTATTGAAGACTTGTTAATTTTTCCTTTTTTGACATAAGATTCATGTTCCTTGATACGAAACTTCAACGCTCTTTTTGTTTGGCCAATATATCTTAAACCACACTGACACATGATATACTATAAATTCCCCAAGAATTCAAGACAGAAACGCAATCTTTTAGAATCGAAGGGTGAATTTTATTAATAGGGGAGAAACCGACTTGAAAATTGAATTTCTGGAGAATCCGTGCAATTTTATAGCTAACAGAAGGATAAAATGGAAGCACGACAAGGTCATTGATATTATTTCTAACAGTGGAATGTCTTCTTTGATGGGAATATGAAAATTTTTTGACGGCTTTATCAATAATCACGGGAGAAAATCCACGGTCAATCGCAACTGCTCTCAAATAATTAAGTTCATTGGTAAGCAAAGATTCAGAGGAACAAACTTTTAGCGCGCGGAAAACATAATAGTAAAAAGAAGCCATTTTTTTGCTTAACAGGGTGGCATGACTTGGCATGGGGTGGTAAACAAACTGCAAAGGGTTTACGGTACACAGTGGTGCTAAAATCGGTTTCATTGCGGATTATAAGAATATCGAGGAAGGGGAGGGAATTGTTGGATTCAATTTCAAGAGTGAATTGGATGGCTGGATCAATTGAATTCATAATAGATAGAATCTCGGATAAATCCTCTTTATATAACCGTCAAAAGTGCGAAAGTGTCGTCAACATACCGAATCCAAAGACGAAAAGATAATTTATCAAATAATTTCATCTCAAAATAGTGCATATAAATGTCAGCAAGTACCGGACTGAGAGGATTACCCATAGCCAATCCTTCAACTTGACGAAAATATGCATTTTGGAAAACAAAGTGGGTTTGACTAGAAACTTTAGTAAGCGAAACCAACTCATTAATTTCAGTATGTGTGAAGTGAAATTCCCGAAGCCTAGTTTCAAGACAATTTAGTGCTCCTTCGACCGGAACATTGGTAAACAATGATTTGACATCAAATGAAACCATAATGGAACGAAGTGGGGAAATATTTTTAAGTTTATCAATGACTTCAACAGAATTTTTTACAGTGTGAATATTGTTATCAAGTAGAGGAGAAAATCTGGAAACTAAATATTTGGCCAAAGGATATGAAGCAGTACCTATGTTGGAAACAATTGGTCGAAAAGGAATACCAGTTTTGTGGACTTTTGGAAGAGCATAAGTCTAGCGCATTAGTAATAGGCGGAATAAGTGATTTCTTCAACTGAATTGGCAGAATGTGGGAAGATTTAATAGCACTTTTTACTTTCATGAGGTCCGAAGTTGAAGGATCTTTAGGGATCGAGCAGTATGGGCCTTCATTTATCAATTTAGAGACTCCAGTAATATATGTGTGTTTGTCCATAACAACGATCTGTCCGCCCTTATCAGCTTTAGAGATAATGATATTAGTATCAGAATTAATTCCACGTAAGATCTCATTTTCCTTTTTGCTAAGGTTAGAACCCAAAGATTTATTGTTAAAATTAACGTTATGAGTAATTAGGTGGCGGATTGTATCCTTCTGCGTTTCCGAAATTTTGGAGAATTTAAAGGCTTTCTCTATAGGGAAAAGAATATATATTATGAATTCAATTGATCCAGCCATCCAATTCACTCTTGAAATTGAATCCAACAATTCCCTCCCCTTCCTCGATATTCTTATAATCCGCAATGAAACCGATTTTAGCACCACTGTGTACCGTAAACCCTTTGCAGTTTGTTTACCACCCCATGCCAAGTCATGCCACCCTGTTAAGCAAAAAATGGCTTCTTTTTACTATTATGTTTTTCCGCCGCTAAAAAGTTTGTTCCTCTGAATCTTTGCTTACCAATGAACTTAATTATTTGAGAGCAGTTGCGATTGACCGTGGATTTTCTCCCGTGATTATTGATAAAGCCGTCAAAAAATTTTCATATTCCCATCAAGAAGACATTCCACTGTTAGAAATAATATCAATGACCTTGTCGTGCTTCCATTTTATCCTTCTGTTAGCTATAAAATTGCACGGATTCTCCAGAAATTCAATTTTCAAGTCGGTTTCTCCCCTATTAATAAAATTCACCCTTCGATTCTAAAAGATTGCGTTTCTGTCTTGAATTCTTGGGGAATTTATAGTATATCATGTCCAGTGTGGTTTAAGATATATTGGCCAAACAAAAAGAGCGTTGAAGTTTCGTATCAAGGAACATGAATCTTATGTCAAAAAAGGGAAAATTAACAAGTCTTCAATAGCGTATCATAGCTGGACTTTTAACCATAATTTTGATTTTGGTCTGCAAAAATCATCCAAAAGGCTTCTTCCATAGGCGAATTGGATTTTCTTGAGGCTTTTCACATTCACAAAGATTTAGAAAGTTTAGTTAATGATTTGAAGTCCAATCCAGTCCTTCCTAATGCCTTTAAAATTCTACTGTCTTAATTCAATTATTTTTGCCGATAGATGGCGTTACCTCCTCGCACTTGGTACTACCAGAGGGTATAAAAATCCGTTCAGTGGTTGCTTTTCATTATTTGAAGTTCAGATTTTGAGCGTAATGTGCATTTGCCCCTCGCTCCCTATTTTAACTTCGCTAATATTTCTTTATACTTGATCAGACAGCCTGGCTCAGTAAAAGTAGGCGGCCAGTGCAACTCTGATTAAAAATCTAGTTATAACCACGTGCAGTGCTGATAAGCACCACGTGTTTCTGTGATTCCTATTTTCTTCTTTCTATGTATTTCTTTCTCCTGATGAGGAGGGACCTTTAGCTGCCCTCGAAATCGATTGAGTGTTTCATTATACCTACGCTAAATATGAGGTTGTTTTTTTACGATTTTGATTGTCACATTAGCGTGTTTCTCTTCTAGTCTATCTATTTAAACGTTAAATAATATAATGATTATTTATCTGAGTTTTAATTATTTGTGTTATTATTGCTGCACAGCTGGTATTTTTCAATACATTTTAGAGAAATCTTTAGTGTAAAACTTAAATTACGAATTCGTTAATGTAAAACGTAGGCTGTAAAACTTCGAAATTCATCTTGAGAACGCCCCCCAGAACATGGATCACCCTACGATAATATTACTATCTTAACTGCAAACTGTTCCAAGTACGTTAAATCTTCTTTAAGACCACTTAATTTCTTTTAAAATATTTATAACTCCTTAAAATCTTCCTTTTATTGAGTATTTACGGATTTAAAGGCCATTACAAACAAGAAGACGTTTTGAAACTATTTAAGGGTTAAGTATTCCATAAACTGAAATATAAATCCAGAGTTAAATAGCTGTTAACAGCTGATACTCACATCTACATAGACGCCTTGCAAGTCGTATTTCTGTCCGGGCGGTCGATCACTTGGCAAAAATCTATAGAACTCGACGTTGTTTTTATACCACTTCACAGAATACAATTCGTCTTTTTCGAGATCATAGGTGCAGTTTAGCCAAGCGGGTTCGCCCCTGATGACAGCCGTCGGGACATCCAACCTGGCGAGTCTCAACGCTGAAGTAACTACAAAGGGGGAAATAATATACATAATTAGAGGCCTGAAAGTTTTTACATAATTAGGAAATGCATGGTTTTTAACTGAAAAATATTTTTAGTTTCATCATTCTTGTACCATAAAAATGAAATTCATCTCCTTTTAAGTCACTGACATCTAGAAAACGCCGTATTATACATAAAATTCACAAGAAATCTACAGCAAAGAACTATTATTTCAAAATCAAAAAACGGTTCAATACAAAATAAAAATATGTTTAGATACTTTGACAACGAATATCGGAGCATAAATATGGTTTTAGCAGTACATTATTTAAATTCACTACTGTTCAAGGTAGGAAAATATTCCGTGAATGACTTCATAAACATTTTAGTTCATTTTTACATACATCAAGAAAAACATTTTATGCTATTTCTCGAAGTAATGTCCTCTCTCCGCAATGCACTTTTAATAATAAGGTGGTTCTTAATCTGTTTTACTCCATTCTTCCCTTTCACCATCTCTAGAAGATCATTTCTCTCTCCCCTTTCCCAAACTCAAAAAAATACGTACACATTTATTTAATTTATATTCCTCTCCTCTGGTTAAGTACGCTGTGATAACTACTGTTCTTAAGAACTGCGGATAATGTCGCCTTCCGTATCGTGTGTAAAACCGTATCGCATGGCTTTGAGTGGCTGAAATATCCGAACATTCTTCTTCTAGGTTTCTTTCAAGTACGAAATAGAAAAAAAAGTCTGTTAGAGCAAGATCGACTGAGTACGAGGGATCATGGTGCGCTACAAGTCGTCAGCAGGCCATAAGTTGTTTTACGATGACAGCCGAAGATGGCCGAGTATTATCATGGATAAGGAATTAAGAGCATATTCTAGAAGTACATGACACATCATTTACAACAGGTTTCACCAAATATCTAGGACCTACTAGCATTCATTAATTCTCTTTCTGGTTAAGTCCTTTACTTTTTCAATGTTTTCGTTACTACAAAATATTGAAATCCTACTATTTAAAATAGCATTTTAAGTGGAACCTCGCCATCCCGAAATCATTTAAACCATTTAGAAACTCACTTTAAAGACACGGGACGGGCTTCATCTTCATAAATTTGCTTTAAAATGTAATGACTTCCTTTCACAGATTAACTAAGCTTGAACCAGAAATTTAAATTCCTCCAGTGCTGCATTTTACAGCCACTCGTGTACCTTTACACACTAGAATGTTAATGAAAGATGTTCATAATGCCAGTTTCTACTCCGCATTCAGACACATTCAAACATGTTGTGGAGTATGTTTCCCGCGCTTCGTCATTCCGTCATTTTCGCACGTACGTACCAAATGACATCATAAACTGAAATTTATTGTCAAACTTTACGTAAAAGTACAAAGTTGCAGTCTATTTAGGACCTTTCTAAGTTATTTTGGACGGTTTGGTGGTTAGTGAAGTATTTAACTACATATGCCACCGAGCCCAAGTTCAAAGCTCACACAAGGCATTCACGTTTCAGACTATAGTGTTTTGCCAAATGAAGTTAAATTGAAAGGAATTATCGCGTCTCCCCCATGTGCGCTCTTATGGTGTACATGGTTAGAACATTCACCTAGCAACTGAAAAATACGTCATGCGAATTACAGTAAGTGTGCAACTGATTTTTTCCCCGAGTCCTGGTCCCAAATACCTAAGGGTTTCAACATATTAAAAATCTGTCGAGACAAAATCTGTCTTAATAGATTGATTATAGAGGAAGACAGCCACGAGGTTTTCGTTTATTTGATTTCTGTGAACAGTGGGACAATGAAGTTTAAGCAGATAATCCTTGTATGTTTTGCCTAAATTAAAAAATTCAAGTCTGATAATTCTAATTTGAATGCAACGATGCTAAAAATTCCATCTTAAGATTTTCATATTTAATATTTCGGAAGAAAGTATTGAATACAAATATTTAGTTTTGTATCTTTTACTGTATAAGTACTTGTTATTGATTATAAGAATTTAAAATCACTTAAATGTTGAAGATATAAACACACACATACGCCCCCACCACATATATGCATATATAACTTTTTCATTATGAAATGTTTAGAGAGTAATCTATATAGAAACTAGCTTCAAAACATGCAAAGAGCTTTTGAATATATGATCAGCGAACAAATGAGCTTTAATTTAAATAGGCGAGAAAAATGTTTAGTGTTTAGAATGATAACACAGGAATCTCTTTCGTTTCTCAGGTGAACATAGAAATCTTTTGTTTAAGCGACAAATCTGCTGATGCTATATTCTTTTTTTTTAATCAACAACAGATTCAGGCTGGTATTTAAACAAATCGATAATATTCAGCTTTAGATTAAAATTTGCATAAAAAATGTTAGTGTTTGTTTAATAGAAGTCATGATGTTCCCGTTTTTCAAAAGAACCTTTCTGAGTAGAAATATGCTTAAAATGTAAAAATATAATAAAATCTGACAAGTATCCTTGGATCGTGAGAATACACTTTTTTGATATATCATCAAGATTGAATCTCAGGTAGTGAGGTTAACCACGGGGTTTGGACAGCAAATACAGCAATTTTATTTGAAATGAAAATAAATGGCAAAACCTCATATATAAATATCCCCGTACTGGCTTTTACACTGCCTCAAATATAGGTGAGCAACTAAGGCGAAAGTGATACCAAAATTCTCTATGGCAACATCTAAAATTCCAAGGCATAAGCTGTCTGATGTCGACTTCGCCGTTTGGGTTACCTCATATGTAACACTGTGAAATAACTGAAACCATGCCATTAGATTCCGCGTCTGGGTTTGGTTTAAAACTGTATAATTAAATTCTAAACATTCCGCCTATTTAGATGAGTAGATTCCTATGTTAAGCCATCTGCAGAGATAACAGTCAATTATCAGGACACATACTCGACTTACTGCGTGTGGGCTATCCCTATCTGTCTGACACAATTCAATGGCATTTGTGCTGCGGGAATGATATTTAACAGATGCAAAGCGTATAGCTGTTACTATACTACAAGGGTTGCTCTTCCATGACGCCACTGACTCATAATCTGCTAAAAAGCAAATATTCGTGTCTTCGTTTCTTCTACGTTTATGCGTCAAGTGACGTCATTGACTCGAATTTTGGAGAGAGTCTAGCCATGTTTGCCTCTACTCTTGGCTGCTTCTGCTGATGATTTGCATTTATTGGAGGTAGCAATTAAATTACCACAGAACTGGGAAAAAAGAAGCTGAGGGTAGGCAGGGCACAGGTCAGCTCCAATTTCAGTGGGTGAACAAGTTCTGTATGTACACAGGTCAGGTCTATTTCAATTAATTAACATACTGCGTAGCAGGATTCATGTGCAGTATGTCCACTTTTAAATTCTAATATGCTCTCGCTATGATTAGTCTCTTTTACCAGAAGCCAGTCTACCTTTAGAAATAAAATTCATATTGAACCATAAGACGCAATTTTGCGATATCTGCAGCCTAAATCGGCAAGCCCTAAATGAAACGAAGTACGTTCGAAGCATATAATTCCGATTATAATTACGTATTTTCGGGGGGGGGAATATTAAATTTTTATCTAAAATGGGGAAAGAGCTTTAAGGATAAGCTGAAACTTAAACATATGAGATCATAATTGTTAAAGAAAGAATTTAATTTTGCTGAAACATTCCAGAATCGAAGGAGATAACGATATTGGTGCATACTGAAAGCTCTTTAACCCAAATTGAGCCAAGGATCTAAAAGAGAAGGGATTAGATAAGAGGGTCTTGTCCCTCCTTTCCCCTGTACAACCCTCCCTTTCCTTCCTCCTCAAAACGCAAGCGGGAAATATTACCCCGGCATTATGTAAGAAATCACCCGAAATGACGTCACAGAGCACCCTGTTTTATATTTTATCAGAGGATAACCATTTCTGTATTGGTGGGGTGTACAAAAATTGAGAAATCATAAAAGAAGATACTATATATCTAAAATCACCGAACACGGTGGAATAAATACTAATGGACTGTTTTTTTTGTTCGTGATTGTTCCGAGGTAATATAATTGCACTAGAAATGGAGATACTTCAAAATAAATACTATATGTTATACACTATACGCGGAGAGACTTTAGAATGAGCCAAAGATACAGGAATATTTTGAAAATCTTAACAATGATTTAAAAAAGAACTAATGAATAATAATAATAAAATTTTAAAAATCTCAAAAGTTTCGGATTTTAACGGTCGCCCAAAAGGGATTGTTAAGGTTTTTTACGCTCTCGCAGAACTCGCAGCCTGCCAGTCTCCTGTTTTACTCACTCCTGTTAACCCACTTTCTTTTTGTCTTTTTAGCTTATTATTAAGGATTGTTTATATCAGACTGATTCAAAAGTAAGAAACGAATATTCTTAATTAAGAACTGCGTCTACTGCTTTCAAACAGCTTAGTTTGTTAATGCACAACAGACAGATTCAATTTGAAAGATAAATGTCTTATATTTTGCAGAATAGCAACAGACTGTAATGAAAAGTGAAATGAATTATTTATAACGATTCGACGCAAAATCCCATTTCGAGACTAATAATCCCTTTTGAGCTAAAAATTATAATGCCTTTATTATCGAATAATGCATTTTGTAGTTAAATTTATTATGATTAAGTAATTAATATATTATGTCGACATAATGTAAAAAATCTGATGTGTACACCACATGACTTCCTTGTATTGGAATATTAAATTATACGCATTTTTTCTTGCATTTTATTTAAACTTATTGGATTGAATTAAATCTACTTCGCCGACAGCGCATAAACCACAATAGAATAAATGCATTCTTTAAAATTCACTCTAGTATTTGTTTACCATAGCGACACTCTTGCGCTAGATTCACTTAACAGTATTAATAATTATATAACAGTTAACGTATATATTTTGTTCATATTATAACTCATAATGCACAAAATTTATATCATTTAAAGAATAGAATTATCTAATCGTTGACACATGTCCTATTCAAATACTATAATAAAGCTAGAATGATGTATAAAAGTAATTAAGCAAACAAAACAAAAAAAGAAACAGTTTTTCACAGACGATTGAGTATTTCTCATTTAATTAATTCAGTTCTCACTTCGCGAGAAGACAAAAATACATAAAAACTCAAAATATCTATATTAAAAATTACGAAGTAAATCTTAAACACTTATTTCCTCGAAAAAATTCCAGAAAGAATTAAGCATGATTTAATTGGCAATAATAAATAAATGCGTTATCTTTGTTGTTGCGAAGCTAAGTTTCTCTAGATTGGCAACAAATCCACTAGTCTACTGTTTCAAATGTAAACATCAATGGCCGTCATTAAAAAGAGGCTTAGCGGCAATATAACAACTTTAAAATTGTTGATAATTCTAAAAATATTGCACACAGATTTACTAAAGGCATAAAATCCTTAACCGGAAGATAAAAACAACATAATTCAATCATTTTAAAGCAAAAAATGTACAATTTACAAACATATAAGAGTAAAGAAACTGAGATCACTGAGTCGGGTAACAGAGTGGATATATATATATATATATATATAATAAAATTTATTTCCTAAACCGTATTGATTAATTATTTATATACGTTTGGTGAGGCCGATTGAAACCAAAATACGAGGTGCACATCTACATGTTATAGCAGTCCTATATACAAAATTTCAACGTTCTGAATCTACTCGTTTTTGAGCTATGCGAGATACGTACGTACGCACGTACGTACGTACATACGTTCGTACAGACGCCACGAAAAATTCTCTTCAGAATTAATTTTAAAGCAGTTTTATAATTTTTTTGAAGGAAAAGAGTATTTTATTCTGTCCTTACGAACAGATATCACGCAAAAACATCGTTAAATTGCATTCGGTAGCGGTCAAAATGGATATTTTCGTTGAAATATGCTGCCTGAAAACTTTACTTCGTTCGTTCGCGATACAATACTTCCTTTTACTTCGTAAAGGAAGTAAAAAGAATGTTCATGAAATTCTAACGCGTGATTTATTATTATTCAAAATAAGCAATACTATACAATAATAAGTTTTAAGAGGGTTAACATTTTTACAAAGGAACATGTTTGAGGGGTTGAACCGAAAATTTGTTTAACATAAAAGTAATCTCTAAAATCATTACATATTTGATAAAAACAAATAAGTGTTATACGAAGAGTACATCAAGTAGTTAAGAAAATGTAAAATAATACATTTAAAAATGGATCATTCTGTATGAATTATTATGATAAAGGTTTATTTTAATTTTAATATGAAAGCCCTTAAAATTTAATAAAAATTCTTAAGGCTTAATAAAAATAGTTTAAATAGAGTAAGTGAAAAACAAATTCCATCAGTTTAATTACTTCAAGAAATCTGGAAATCTGAACTCGAGCCGCAGACGATAATAATGCGGAATAAAATTAACCTAAGAAAAACCGCGAAGGAAAAATTCAAAGTTTAGGTTAATAATATATAAAAGCGGATAATATCATGTAGTAGACGAAAGATCGAAAACAGTGCTGAAACAATTCAACATAGCCAAGCAAATTTTAGAATATCAAATTGAGAAGCTCTTGTGAAAGACGCATTTCAAAAGAGGATATTCTACAATCTGCACTAACTTTATGAAGAGAAATAACACATTTCTATCTCAATGACTTTTGAACTTAATTATCTGATTTTATTTTCTAAAGAGCTGATAAATGTCAAGCAAAATGAAAGCCTGGAAGATTAATTATTAAGTTCACAATGATATCACAACCAAGGGAGGGGTTTCGAGTATGGGACTTCTACCAATCTTATGACGTTGAATCTTTGAAGCTGTTGAATGCTACTGTTTACATTTTACATGGTATTCGTTTTGCAGCATTTAGCATGTATTTGTTTATATTCCTTTTAAATTCTTTCAATCAGACAATAAAATCTTCACAATTACATAAAAACAATCAAATTTCACATTGGAAAGTTTCACAAAAATCCATGATGTTTGAATAATTTTGTAAAACAAATTGGTCAGCACAACATTTTCAAAAATTTTACTTAAACAAGTTCGAAGACGCTGAAGAGATTATGTGGCATGACAGAAAATGCTACCGGAAGCCTATTTATCTATTGTACAAATCACTCCCTTGGTTGCAATATCGATGTGCACTTACGCAGCCGGGAATTAATACAAACAACGATCTTACTATGGGGTATCACATCTGATTAAGCTTCATTTTTTTTTCCGAAATGCAAGCTTTTCCAAAATGCGAGCTTCTCTACTGGAGGGTTCCTAGCCGAAACATACTATCTCGGCTAACTACGCCGGACATTTTACAATCGAGATGATAATGATTCGCTTGAGCTTGTTCCTCTGCTAGCTTTTCCCCAAAGAATTTATTTTTTCAAAGTTAGGTTACCCGAAGACCAAATTTCCGAGAAATGTTTCTTTCGATGCGCTGTCGAGGGTAACTTGTTAGATTGGATACTGGTTTCAGACTAATTACTTATTGCTTTCGACTACGTGTATTTACTTTTTGTGTGTATTTACCTTTTGTGTGTATTTACTTATTATTACTTATTCTTACGTGTATTATTAGCTTATCGACTACGTGTATTCCGAATGAAAGTTGCGCAGAATTGTAAACATTTTATAATTGTCGATAAATTAGCATTCTATTCCTTCTGTATATGTATTTCTTATTTTTTTTTATCTGATTTTGTAACTTTATTTTATTTTGTGTTATGTTGTTGTATTTACAAGTTTTTTTTTCACTTACTCTGTAAGCTTTGAGTAATACTTTGTGGTGTCCTTGAATAAGTAAAGGAGTTTAAATATCCTAGAATAAAAAAATATATGCAAGAGATTGATATTCACTTTATACCTTGATCCAAACTGAAAACATAAATTATAATTAAAATAATTCTCCTGATTCAATTTCTGATTAATTAATCAATTAATAATGGTAAAATACGAGAGGTCTCTCTTCCTAAGATAAGGGATGGTTTTGCGGAGGGACTTTCTAGAGAAACCGATTCCCATTTACGTTACACTTTGGAAAACCACGAATTGTTTTGCACTCAGGTGAATTTTCTCAGAAACAGGCACTCGCGTAACTCTTGTAGAGTCATTAGGTCTTTCTAAAGCCAAAAAGAAAGAAGAAAAAAAAAAAAAAAAAAAAAAAAAAACTGAAGAAAATCTTCAATGCCCCTGCCAGAATTCGAACTCGGACATTCCAAATACGCGTCGACTGTGCTTCCGACTACACCACGAAGGCACGCGGATAGCAGGGTGAATATAGCTCTAAAGAATGAAATTAAATAGGATTTTCTTTTCTTCAAGCAGAATCCTGTCTGGTTCTTAAATTATGGTTTGCAGTTTAGAGACAGATATATTTTCTTGAAAAGGTATATATTACTTCTTAAATTTCTTGCTGACTAACAATTTTAGCGATGATTTTTTTTTGTGACGATATCTATATAAATATAAAATGTAGGAAAAATATAGACTCCGGCAGATTATGTCAGGGCGTCTGGACTCAGATGGAAAGTTCTTACGTAGTCATTTCATTTGAGAAATAGAGTTCTCCATCAAATCTACATGCCTTGGAGATGTAACGTCACGAACACAAGGAACGTTTTGAACAACTAATTTGATATAAATCATGGCCGTAGACATGGTTAAGGGAGAAAACATTCTAGTCTCAGAAGACACTAGAAAATATCAGAATATTTCCTACCAGGTAGTGGTGGTGTATTTAATTATGGCAAAGCACACTAGGGCTATCTGCCTAAGGGGAGGGATGCCTTCGTGGAGGACTTTCTAAGGAAAACTGGCTCGTATACACGTCACACATGGGGAAAACCACGAAACGAAATGCAACCAGCCCGTTCGCGGGATTCGAACCTCGGACCGAACTACCAGTGTTCAGTGACTTTACCGCTCGGCCGCTGGTGGGCTATTTCCTACCAGACATACACTTCTTTGTTACCAGCACTTAAGGCATAATTAGCAAGGCACAACTTATCATGAAAGCTATGTAATTATATCATAGTACAAAATAGCGAAAGTTATAACATCGATAATTTCAGTTACAGCTTCATATTTATGCCAAAAAAATAATAGGTATAAATAGTTTGACAATCACAGCCTATCGATGTTACAACTTTCATTAACATAGTATTGTATCTGGCATAGTCTAATTCCGACCTAAACTATATTTATTTTACTTCGAATTAAATTTGACACATGTTTCAATAATTTTATATCCTTATATCATTAAAATAAACTTATTTTACTTTACAGTAAATCCGATATAAGCACGTTTTAACAATTTTCATAGAATTTTCGTTGCATTTATACGCCTGATTAAAAGCACTGGGAAATTTTTTTGATTTTTTTCAAAAATATTTGCTAAAACAAAAATTCGCATTAAATATGATTAAGTGCAGAATAAAATTCGAGACTGTTTCATAGGATGAGTACCAAAGTTTATAATAATTCTCAAACAAATGTTCTAACCTGTAGAATGCTCAAATAAATCGATCATATCACCCCCGCGTTTCTCATCAGGAAGCACATGCAACTCTGGCGAGATAGAATCGTCTGCGCCACCTGGGTGACTCATACACCATAAACTGATGCTCGTTCCACGTAACAACATCACCAGCGAAGAGGAGACTAACCCCCTTTCAGAGACCCCACTTCGTTGTCCTCCGCGACCTTTTCCGCAGCACGGCCCACCGAGTGGGAAAGAATTAAGTGAGCGAAAGATAAGTATGTCAGGCTTCATTTCGGAATTCTGAAATCTTAATACGTTTCCTGTAGAATAGCTGATGCTACGGAATATTAAAAGAGGACCCTAGATCTTTGATTGCAATCTAAGCATTTGCATAATGTATAAGAGCCTATAAAATGGACCTTGGATTTTTAGAAGAATACTTTTTTTTTTTAGTTGAAGCCTAGAAAACAGAAAGATCACACACTCTCTCATTAATTATCTCATTAATTGCTCTTTTAAAAACACAGCGAAATAATTTTCTAGTAAATAGAACAGAAAACATACCAGTTTGCATTAACATTAAGATTAAGCTATTGTCATTATAAAGTTGGATTTTACGCAATTTCAGCCTTTTCAAGTGTTTTTATTTTCATTTCGCTCATATACGATCGAGACAAAAAAAAAAAAAAAAAAAAAAAAAAAAAAAAAAAAACACAGCTGTTAACAATTCACAAGAAATACTTTCATTAATATATTTTTGGAGATACAATAACACTTTTCTTATTTATGCAAAAAGGAGGAGCATTAAAAATAGCATATATTTCCTAAAATAATTTGCAATAAATTTGATCAATGTTTATTCAATAAGACGCTTCTGAAGCAGCTATTATGAACTTCGGTTACAGAAATGCTCTCTGATTCTCGGAAAAGTATATAAATAAATAATATAATCTGTGAAGGAATTAAATTTTAACATCGCATCAGAGGGTTTGTTAAGTTTCTTATTCTCTCGCTGAGCTTGCAATTAACCAATCTACTCTTGAACTTACCGTTGCTGTCACAATTTCACTTGTGTTTTTGAACCTTATCATTTAATATCGATTTCTCCGCAATTAACTGTTTATACAATTTAACATAAAATTCACAAGATTTTTCAAAGTAGCATAATTTTCGTTTTCCGATAAAGTGTTGCCATATATTTTTCAACTTTTTTTTTTTTTTTTTTTTTTTTTTTTTTTACCACCACACAGCATTTTAGAGCAAAGGGAGGTTAGCCCAGAAGGGCAATTAGTCTCGAAACGGCATTTTGCGTAGAATCACTTTTCAAATTGTTGCCATCAAACATTATCACCCTGTATCATATTTAAAGAAATTAAATAATGAAGAATCTGCATGAATATATGTATTTTTCTCGCAATGTGAAAAAACAACGCTACCTAGAGCCATCAAATTTTGAATAACACAGTCCTCCACTAGAATATGGGTAACCTGGAAGCCCGAATTTGGAACTCGTTTTATAATCTATTTCATATTTTGTAAAACTTTAACAAATATTTTGTTGAAAAACTCAACGATTTTAAAGCGAGCAGTGGCAGCACTGCATGGAATAAAACACTTTTATCTTCAGGGCGTGAGACTGTGTATCGGAAAATCTAGAGATATGCTGTTTTTAAATATTTTTAGCGCAAAAGTGTATTAACCCAAATGCTCTACAAACGTATATGTTTGTATAAATGAAAAAAACGCCCCTTTGAGCGTAATATAAGTTTTAGACATGTCTATTTGGGCGTAATAGTCATGTCTAAAAGCTTTCAGTTTTTTTTTTGTCTTTTTCATTTATTATTGAATTTCACTTTCTTCACACTTATGCATAATATCAGTTATGAGCGAGATGTTTCCATTGCACATTCTTCTGACCCATTCGGTCTTTCGCGATGTGACGGTCGTAATACATGCGAGTTTTTTGCTTTATTATTTGCCAAGTGGTCTAGTAATGCCCCATCGACTTCTTGGATCAATTCGCGCAAATTCATTAAATAGATTTCTTTTTATTCTCTGTTTTGCCTCTGGTTCTTATTTTTATAGCAGGAGTGTATTTTGAATCAAATTCATTTCCTAGGCATTTGACAACAGGATTACACTTTTAATGAGAAACGGTATAAATTGCCAAAAATTCAAATTAAAATGTTTGATAAGCAATTATCAATTCATCTTACTTTTTAGGGTCAGTTTAAGAAGATGCATGAGGATAAGGAACTTGAAGATGCCGACAAGTTTCACTATTTATCTCAATCAATGCTGCCCGGGATTTGGGCTACTGAACTGACAGATAGGTACCCTTTAACGACTGCAAATTACCCGAAAGCTATTTCTAACTTTGAGGAGAGTTTGACTAAAAGGAGATTTTAATTGACATACACATGAGGGAATTCTTAAAATTAATTATTCAAAAAAATATTCAAAATGTATAGAGAAAGGATAGGGTGGCCCGTAGTGTTTGACAACATTGAATCATACCTTAGATCTCCAGAACCTTTAGACTTAACCCTAGGATACTAAATGCTTCCTGGTTATACCCCGCGGTTTAGCCCTGCCTATTAGCTGAGATGCATGGGGTATGGTAGAGAAGAGTCCTTTTCAGTAACAAGCCTCTGTCAAATTTAAAATGAATGAAGACAGCTGGGAAGCAGCATATCTTTCGTGTCCAGAAAAATTTCAAAAGGAGTTAGAGGACATCTTAATTAGTTCTTTATTTCAAGCACGTGTGGCTTGCAAAACACTTGCACCTATGCATTTGAAGCTATGGAAAGCGCTAGCGTACTCGCAGGTTAAATTTTTTGAGTGTAATTTTGTGCTGTATTAATTTAAGGCCAAGCTCTGGAAGAGATCCTTAAGCTACAAATTAAATTGAAGGGTTTTTCAGTTTTTCACACACAGAATACTGTTAATTTAATTTATCACAAGTTATTTAAAGTCAAGATTTCATTATTATTGGGCACAGGAATTAGTTTTTACTTTTTACTGTAATATAATATGCGTCAGTAGCATTACACAAGTAACATATGAAAAGCATTAATTAAGAAATGACGCAATCCCATTAATAAGCTTTGTGGTTCCGAACTCAGGGTAGATCACAGTTGATTTTTTTTCACGTTTCTTGATCCAAAACAAGTAATAGTCTCTACAGTGTTGCTCAAGTGAGAATGTGGAGGACGATAATACATTATCATTTAAGTTTGGTTGACTCATTTCATGGTTATTTTCAAGTTGTCTTTTACGTGGGGAAGAATGTAAAGAGCTATTGAATGGCGCCACACGTACGGTCATAATGTAAGTGGTTAGCACTCTTGCTATAAAGATGCAGATTTGTGGTTCGAAGCCTGGAGAGAACACAATTAATTTTTCATGCTTCCTAACGTCGTAAAACTAATTCGCTTTACAAAATAATTATTTCGGAAATGTGAAAAGAAAAGTTTTTAAGGCCTGCTTACGGGGCAGCCTGGACAATGTGCTTATGATCAGACGGTTCAATGACCTACCGTATCCCTCATAATTCGCGATGAATACATAATCGATAAGTACCAGAAAACTTTAAAAACCTATAGGGACTACCAAAACTTTATCATAAATAGCATATATTTAAATATTTAACTTACAGAAAAAAGCTCTACAGCGTATTAGTAGAAATTTACTCGTAGTACTTAACAGTTAACTGACAAAGTAATTAGCAAGAAGCTTATACAGCGATTACGTATACAAGAGCATGGCACACGAAAAATAAAGAAGCGTTAGTTGGGATTCTTAACCTCCTGACTATTGACCGGATCTGTTCTGAAGCAATTACACTGTAATGGCACGCTGTAAGAAAGAAGAAAAGTCCCTTACATTCTCCTCTACTTACAGGACAACTGGGGAGGCGAGGAGTGAATCGCCAAATTTAAGTTGTAACGAATTATCGTCTACCACATTTTAGTTCAGTCACCACTTGTATAGCGATTGGTATTTATCGGTGGAGTAAATATGAAAAATGAAAAACGCACTCTTCGGGGTTCAAACTCCAGACTTCCCGACTGGTAGCCGAACTCTCGATTACTGATCAGTTTCCAGTTACATGACAAAGGTACACGATGAGAAAGGTGAAAAATTCTTTACAAACTCACAGCTCTAAAAACGGTAAATGTGCTCATACTTGGGATAATTGCTTTTCCGTAAAGTTCATTTTTAACGCTATTCGATTGTGATATCTCGATCTCCACAAATAACTAAGGTATTTAAAATATTCATCAAATTTTTGGTATAGTCTATAAAGCTGCAGATTTAAATAAATATTTAAATTCATTTACTGCTATTCTTTTATTCCTTGCGTTTAAAGCTAATATGTCTAAGTTGGTGTCTACTTGCCAAGAATTATTTGTTAATATTAACAAAATATTGGAAATTTATGCTAACCAATTAGCCTATAGAGCTAACTATGATACTGAACTGTAGGATTACGTCTCAATTAGTATTCTAGTCTCCGCAAATCGTATACGAACATTAAGCTTTCATAAAGTACTAGTTTTTTATACAGGTTATAGGTTCTAATAAATATTTTAGTCTGCCTGGTTTTTACTATTTATTTCTTCATTTTGAATTATTTATGTTTCGTCTGGAGTGTTGAATCCCTAACGACAATGTTTAATCGGTAGTGAAGGAGATATGCAAGATACAATTTGAGGACAGAGCTTTTAATGTACATAGAAACAATATATTTATGTAACTAATTTTTATGAATTAAGAACAATGATAATATAATGAAACATTTGTAAATTGCATGAAAATCCTTTCTGACAAACATCACACAATGAACTCGAGTTAAAACTATTATAAGCTGGGCTTCTTAACCCCGATTCCTGTCTTGCTTTACGAGAAAAACAACAATCAGCTACTTTAACAAATGAGATAAAAAGCGAGAAAATAACAGCAAATATACAAATAAAAAAGAATGAAGATTTTTAAACTAATCATGAGAGAGAGTGCGTGTGAAATTTCATAGGCGAGCGATGAGACTCCTAAAAATGAACAAACAAAATACTACTTAAAAATATGAAGTTTGGAAGAACAGTAATTACCCTGTAATTTCCCTGTTTCCAAGTACTAAAAGACCTGCATTTTTTTCCTTT